TGTCATACTGTGGTGGCTTGTGTATTGCTGTGAGACTGAAGACTATGCCACTGGTGTTTCAAATGCTAGCAGGGTTACCCATGGTGGACAGCTTTCAGCAGAGCTTCCAGAATAAGACAGACTTGGAAGAAGGAAGAGGCCATACACTTCTCAAAGAATTGGCCAGTGAAAACTTTATGAATAGCAGTGAAACACTGTCTAATATATTACTAGAAAACTTTATGAGTGGCCCTGAAACATTGTCCGATACAGCTCTGGAAGATGAGCCCCTCAGGTCAGAGGGCACACAAGATATGACTGGGGAAAAGCTGCCACCTCAGAATAGAGTGATCTTAATGATGTGGATAGAGTAAAGCTTTTGGGACCTCATTTTCTGATGCGGCATGACTCAAAATGAGAAGGAACAGCTGAAAAATCCATTAATAATCAGAAAATGGAAGGTCTGAAGAATGCATCTAGGAAAATTGGAAACTGTCAGAAATGAAATGGAAAGCATAAAGATAGATATCCTAGGCATTAGTGAGCTGAGATGGACTGCTTTTGGCCATTTTGAATCAGACAACCATATGATCTACTATGCCAGGAATGACAGTTTGAAGAAGAATGGTGTGGCATTCATCATCACAAAGAAGCTTTCAAGATCTACCCTTAAGTACAATGTTGTCAGTGATAGGACAATATCCATACGCCTACAAGGAAGACCAGTTAATACTGCTATTATTCAAATTTATGCACCAACCACCAAAGCTAAAGATGAGGAAGTTGAAGATTTTTACCAACTTCTGCAGTCTGGAATTGACTGAACATGCAATCAAGATGTGTTAATTATCACTGGTGATTGGAATGCAAAAGTTGGAAACAAAGAAGAATCACCAGTAGTTGGAAAATATGGCCTTGGTGATAGAAGTAATGCTGGAGATTGTGTGATAGAATTTTGCAAGCCCAATGATTTATTCATTGCAAATACCTTTTTCAACAACACAAACCATGGTTATACACATGGACTTTGCCAGGCAGAGTACACAGGAATCAGATTGACTACATCTGTGGCAAGAGGTAATGGAGAAGCTCAGTATCTTCATCCAAAACAAGGCCAGGAGCTGACTGTGGAACAGATCATCAACTGCTTATATGCAATTTCAAGTTGAAGTTGAAGACAATTAAAACAACTCCATAAGAGCCAAAATATGCCCTTGATTATATCCCTCCTGAATTGAAACCATCTAAGGAATAGATTTGATGCACTGAACACCAGTGACCGAAAACCAGAGGAATTGTGGGATGACATTAAGATCATCATACATAAAGAAAGCAAAAGGTCATTAAAAACACAGGATAGGAAGAAAAGACCAAAATGGATATCTGAAGAGACTCTGAAATTTGCCCTTGAATGGAGAGTAGCTAAAGCAAATGGAAGAAATTACAAAATCAAAGAACTGAACAGATTTCAAAGAGCAGTTCGAGAAGACAAAGTCAATTATTATAATAAAATGTGCAAAGACCTGGAGTTAGAAAACCAAAAGAGAAGAACACACTCAGCATTTCTCAAGCTGAAAGAACCAAAGAAAAAATTTAAGCCTCAAGATGCAATATTGAGAGATTCTATGGGCAATATATTGAATGATGCAGGAAACCTCAAAAGAATATGGAAGGAACAGAGAGTCACTGTACTAAAAAGAATTGGTAGATGTTCATCTATTTCAGGAGGTGGTATATGATTAAGAACCAATGGTACTGAAGGAAGAAGTTGAGGCTGCACTGAAGGAACTGGTGAAAACCAAGGCTCCAGGAACTGACAGAATACTCACTGAAATGTTCCAACAAACGGATGATGCACTGGAGGCACTCACTCAGCTATGCCTAGATATTTGGAAGACAGCTAGCTACCTGGCCAACTGACTGGAAGAGATCCATCCATATTTGTACCCATTCTAAAGAAAGGTGATCCCACAGAATATGGAAATTATTGAACAATATCATTAATATCATGTGCAAATAAAATCTTACTGAAGATAATTCAAAAACAGTTGCAGCAGTATATTGACAGAGAACTTCCAGAAATGCAAGCTGGATTCTGAAGAGGATGTAGAATGAGGGATATCATTGCTGATGTCAGATAGATCTTGGCTGAAAGCAAAGAGTACCAGAAACAAGTTTACTTATGTTTTATTGACTATGCAATAACATTCAAATTGTGTGGATCAAAACAAATCATGGGTAACATTGAGAAGAATGGAAATTCTAGAACACTTAACTGTACTCATCAGGGACTTGTACACAGGCCATGAGGCTGTCGTTCAAAAAGAGTAAGGGGATACTGCATGGTTTAAAATCAGGAAGGGTGTGCTTCAGGGTTGTATCCTATCACCATACTTACTCAATCTGTGTGCTGAACAAATAATCTGAGAAGCTGGATTATATGGAGAATGTGGCATCAGGATTGGAGGAAGGCTATTAACAACCTGTGATATGCTGACGACACAACTTTGCTTGCTGAAGATGAGGATGACTTGAAGCACTTACTAATGAAGATTGAAGAATAGAGTATGCAGTATGGATTACACCTAAATATAAAGAAAACAAAAATCCTCACAACTAGACCAATAAGCATCACGATAAATGGAGAAAAGATTGAAGTTGTCAAGGACTTCATACTACTTGGTTCCAGAAACAAAAAGGAGGCTGTTTTGCTTTTTCGTGGATGTAAAATTTTTGTTATTACAGAAAAATCAGATAATGTAGGATTAATAAAAATACGGAAAACTCCACACTACTACCTAGAAGACTTCAGTTAACAAGTCAGATTTTACATGTATTCCATATTGTATGTTTGTGAACTTTAATTGGCTAGTAAGCACAGATGTCTAAGAAATCAAAGTAAACTCCTTAACTATGCAGGATGACAAGTGCAATGATCTATCCTACTTCTCCAAGGAAGCTTCTATTAGCTGTCAAAGACTCAGCTCCCATAAAGAGGGGCTATGTGTGGATGGAGAAAAGTGAAGAAGCATTTCTGATATCTTTGATTTAAAAAATCACAGAATGCTAGAGCCATCAAACCTATCCTCATCTTACAATTGCAAAGGCCATCTCATGGAGGGGAATGACAAGCTGAGACTCTAACTTGGATGATTGTCATCTGATTCCAAGTCCAGAACACTCTCCACTTTTGCAGGCTGCACCCTTTAACCATTCAGTGGAAATGAGAGAAAGCCTTATTCCAAGGCGGAAGGAATGCCTTCATCACAACTTCCTCTTGCTGCTGTTTAGATCTGCTTTCTCTCTGGGACATAAGGGGGAGGGGAAAAAAAAAGCAAAAAAAAAAAAAAACCCACTCATCAAGTGGATTCCAACTCATAGCGACTCCCATTGGGTTTCCAAGGTGGTAAATCTTTACCAAGTAGATTGCCCCATCTTCCTTCGGCGAAGTGGCTGGTGGGTTGAACCGCCAACCTTCCAGTTAGCAGTCAAATGCCTTAGTCACTGCACCTCTAGAGTTCCTTCTGGGACCTAAGAGGTGTCCAGAAAAAGAGCACTTATCAGAACAACAGGTAGCCTCAAGGTTCTTTGCAATGCCTTATATTCCAGGTTGGGGTGAGCTGCAGGAAGTCTCTTTTCTCTTTGGGCTGGGAATCGCCACGCAGCCTAGCATACAAAGTGAGGCCCACCGTGAAGAGACGGACAGGCTCGGCCACTGAAATTGGCTATCCGTGCCGCCCAACCCCCGCTAGGTGCCATGGATTCGCGGAAGCCCACCCCACGGGGGAGCAGGCTGCCTCCATAGCCCCACGCGTGTGGGGATGCTTATGCTGGCCCAGGCACTTCCTCCCTACCCGGCTCGCTGCCAACCCTAGCAACTCCGCCCAGCACCGCGGATAGCAGCCACCAAACATTGCGCAGCCCCGCCCCCCACCGGCGACAGAGTGAGTCACGTGAGGCCCTGTGGAACCAATGGGCAGCTCGAGCCGAATGGAAAGGATTGTCTGACCCCCATGACGTCACAAAGCTGGCGGCAAGAACGCTCTTGTTCCGCCTCCGCCCTCTCGGCCGTGGCCCGCCCTCTTGCTCCCCGCCCACCCGCCACTGTGCAGCCAATTAGGAGGCGGGAAGTGCTCCGGCCCGAACGTGCGGGCGGGGCAGAGTGGCAGCCGGGCGGGACAGGGGCGCGGAGTGGGCCGGCCGGGGGCCAGGGGTCGAGCGCCGGGGAGTGGCGTGGGGCTACGTGAAAGAAGGGAAGGGTGCTGCTGCCGCTGCCTCGCCGAGAAGAAGCAGCTTGTCCCCTGCCAAGCCCGGTTCGTATTCCTTACCCTGGGCACCGAGCCGCCCTGTTCTGAATCCCCTTCCACCCGCCGAAAGTTGTGAGGAGGGCGTCGGGACAGGGGCGTCTGGCGGGTGTGGGGAGCTGTGGCCGCGAGGCGTGCGGAGGGCGGGGCGTTGACGGACGGGGCGGGGGAGGGACGAGTCCTGAGCGCCAGGTGCGCGCGGGGGCTGCGGGGCTGGCGTGAGGGACTGCCGCGCTGCCCTCCGCAAGTCCCCCTAAGCCTGCTGTCATCCATTGGGCCGCCGCGGGGACCTGCGGGAGAGGGTGCTCCAGGCAGGCTCCGGCGCTCCAGGTGCTGGGGGATCTCTGTTCTTTCACACATAGCGGGGTCTGATCTAACTTCATGGGCAGCTTCAGTGTCTGGACTGAAGCTCGCGCCGCGTGGGGCTGGGCTGGGCGGGGCGGGTAGCGGATGCCGCGCGCCGTGGGCTCCGAGTCCGGGCTGGATGGAGGGGCCAGTCTCGGGGCACGCCGCTCCTCGGGTCGGTGTCCCTGCTGCTTCGGGCCGTGGTTGTGGTTCTGCCTCTCCCACGGGGTGGGTTTGTTTGTTTGGTTTCCTACTTCTCCCCATCCCTTTCGGCCGTTTCTATCCTCTCCCCCCTCCCAGCCCCATTCACGAGCCTGGAGCGAGCCCTTGCCCCTCCTCCGCTCCCGCCTCCCCCGCAGCCGCCTCCTTCTAATGAGCATCTCTGCCTTGCTTTCAATGGGCCGGTGCTGCTGTCGCTGCTGCTGTCCGCGCGGGTTGTGGATGTTGTCGGCTCCGTGTTGTGATGACAGGAGAATGTGTGTGTGTCCCGGGCCCAGACGAATTGGTAGGTATTCACTTAACTACCTGCGTTGGGTACCCAGGAAGGATGCTGACTGGTTTCTTGTGTGGTTTTAGGTGGTTAGGCGTGGAATGAGGTAGATAGGGAAAGGGAACAAAGGCGTCCTGGGCTGGGACAGCCTTGATGGTTTATGGAGTGCAGTTTTCAGGTAGGGACAAAGGAAACTAATCAAACAAGTGAGGGCTTGATGCTTTGTGTCCTGCGAAGGAAACCGGTTTCTTCTTCATGTAGAAATCACAGGAACTGTGAAATGGCTAGAAAATGTTGAAAAATCGCAAAGAATCTTTATGCAGGATGTTTAATGCTATTGGATTACATAAATTGGAGTTCTGACAATTAAACGACTTGTATAACATACCTTTTTGCATTTACCCCCAAAAGCTTTGCAACGCTGAAGAGCTCCGGAGTAGGTGCAGTAACAAACAGTATTTTCTAATTAATTGGGTCCACGGATTCATTGATGAAGTGGAGTCGTTTTTTGGCACAGGCTCTGTGGAGTCGTTTTTTGGCCGAGCACATCAGTGAGGAAGGATGGGTTCTGTCCGTGTTTATGGGTTGCAGCGCATCTGCCTTTATTAGTCATTGGCAAAATCGGCCAAAGCTGCCTAGGACCGAGATGCTACATCTAACGTGGCTGCATCTCCATCGCGGGGTAGGAACTTCTCAGTGAAATTGTGATGAGAAATAACTTGAAAATTTAACACTGCTCCAGTTTGCTAAGAGCTATACCTTGTTGCTGTTCTTATTGCCTAATCAAGAGCCTTCTACTTCATTAGTTTAGCAAGTTTGTCACCAAAAGTTTTGATTTCGTGTTGTTGTTGTTTGTTGTTATTTGCCATCGAGTCAGACCCGACTCATAGCGACCCCTTCTTGGGTTTCTGAGGCAGTATCACTACGAAGTAGGAATGCCCAACCTTCCTTCCGAGGAGTGGCTGGTGGGTTTGAACCGCCAGCCTTATGGTTAGCAGTCAAGTGCCTTAGGCACTATGCTACCAGAGCTCCTTTTGATTTCATAGGGTTTTGTTTTTTGAATCGCAGGATATTCAGAAAGATAATGAATTTTTGAATGCTCACTTACTGTTTATGAAAGCATTTGAAAACACTTCGACTTCTCAGGGTGTCTGGCCTGTTGGAGAGAATATATCACTTGCACCAGAGATGATGATGCTTGTTAATCACAGACTATGGTTTTCATAAATTCTTGCCTCTGTCAGAATTTGTCTTTTGAAGGCATGTTGGAGATTGGAGGATTGAGATACTATCTCAGTCCATATGCTGAGCCGCTGAAAAACTGAAAGTAGAGTTGATAAAATTCACTCTGTTTGTTTTTAATCTTGAGAACTTTTGCCTTGGAGGAGAAATGTAGTTTATTATTTGAGTGTTTTGTGTTGCTTGTGGTTTAAATTTAAGTATTATTCAAAGTATTTGCTGCATGAATCATAAGCTCTTTTTGCCAGAAGATTTCATTAATTTTGCAGTCAACTACAAAAGTTAAAAAAAAAAAAAGTCAAAAACAAGTGTATTTCAGGAAAGTACAGGTTTCCTGGATTTTACACTTTGATTAGGCTGCCATATAATCAAACCCTGTTATGTACTTGTCTGTCAAACTCCTCCAAATACACACATACACACAGAGTACTTTAATTCAGTCTACATTCCAGTCAGACAGACAGACAGAAATATTTTGCTTCCTGTAAGATTCTTAAGTTTTAAAGGACAAATGCAAACTTATATAAAGTTGGGAAGACAGTTTATTTTCACTAAGATTAGCATATGTTTACATTTTTTAGTGATAGAAAATCTTTATACAAAGCATAGATTGCGAGCTTTCCGCATGCAGACCTAAAAAGCAATATGGTTTATGTCTGAAAGCCAGTGTCATGTGGCTCAACATTTGAGCACATCTCCTGGCTCAGTCATGTACACTTAACCTTTGGATGACTTTCAGGTTTTCAGTTTGAAGTGCTGTTATTTAAGTGGTTAGTCCTTGATAGATTCTTGTTCTTCTGGAATTTCTGTTTTTCAATACTGTGTTTCAGGATGCTTGTTTCCTTATGATTCTTATTTCCCAAAATCTGACCGTCACCTTTTATTGCCTAATGTTCTCTTAGTGCAGTTAAAGTAAGTGCAGTTCAATCTGTGTAAGAGGGGTCCTTTATTGCTTGTGTACGCAGTGCTTATTATTTCAGAAGCAAACAAGAATCAGTGATTGGTCAGTGTTTGGGTTTCTCAGCTCCCCACCCCCACCCCAGTTACTGCTTCTTTTCAACTTACTCTTCAGAAAAGAATATGTGAAAATAATTTAATATATAGCTAACATTCTCATGATAATCAGTAGACTCAGCTTTGAGAAGGAATAATTGGTATTGACATTCAAATGAGTTAATTTCCTTATTCCTTTTTCTTTACTGTGTTTATTTTCTTAATTAAAGTCTTTCTGAAACTTGTTTCTCTGTAGGTCAAGAGAATAGTTTGAGGCAATACCTTAAGAATTCAGGGGAAATATATGTTACTGAGAAAGATGGGAGTTTGCTTTTTCATAGATTATCTGGATTAATGGTACATAGTCTTCAAATTTTCTACATAATGACCCAGGAAAATATTTTCAGTGTCATATTGTGAGTGATAAGAATTTTTTTTATTCATAATAATAATACCATACTTTTAAAATTCAAACTTTATCATTGTATTATTATTCATTGCTTTTTTTAAGGCAAATACTTCTTTTAAAAAATGTAAAAGATTTTTCTGGTACAGAGTTTTACTTGTGATCCATTATTGTTGTTGTTGTTAGGTGCTGTCGAGTTGGTTTCAGCTCATAGTGACCCTGTGTACAACAGAAAGAAACACTGGTCCTGTGCCATTCTCACAGTCAATACCTTGCTTGAGCGTATCGTCGCAGCCACTGTGCCAGTCCATGTCATTGAGAGTCTTCCTTTACACTCTGTATTTTACCAAGCATGATACCTTTTTCCACGGACCTATCCCTTTGACAATATGACCAAAGTATGAGAGATGAAATCTGGCCATTCTTGCTTCTAAGCCACATTCTGGGTATACTTTCTCTAAGACAGCTTTTTACTCCATCCATGTCATTAAGGTTGACTCTACTTTGAGGATGTAGCGTTTTCCCAGTCATATTTTGAGTGACTTCCAACCTGAGGAAGTTCTGCCACTTTATCAGATAGTTTCCCTGCTATTCATAAGGTTTGCAGTGGCTGGATTTGTCAGCAATGGACCTAGCCATGTCCTCCTTCCTAGTCTGTCTTAGTTTAGAAGCTCCACTGAAACCTGTCCACCATGGGTGATCCTACTGGTATTTGAAATGCCGTGGCATATCTTCCAGCATCACAGCAATATGCAAGCCACCACAGAACAGCATGTTGTTGTTGTTGTTATTTGCTGTCGAGTCGGTCCCGACTCATAGCAGCCCCTCCTTGGGTTTCCGAGGCAGTTATCACTAAGGAAGTAGGATTGCCCAACCTTCCTTCCGAGGAGTGGCTGGTGGGTTTGAACCGCCAGCCTCCTGGTTAGCAGTCAAATGACTTAGGCACTATGCTACCAGAGCTCCCACAGAACAGCATAGCAGATGAAAATAGTTTTTTGTAGCTTTCCTTTATGGCTAATAAACAGGGACAAAGCTAGCAAATAAATTCCAGAACTATGACCGTTTATATTACTTACAAAGTTTTTGAGCTACTAACTAAAACACCAGACTCCCTGTCATCAAGTCAATTCTGACTCATAGCAACCCCCATTGGGTTTACAGGGCGGTAAATCTTTACGGTGGTAGATTGCCCATCTTCCTTCGACCGAGGGACTGGCGGATTTAAATCACCAGGCTTCTGGTTAGCAGACAAATGCCTTAGGCAATGCACAGCCAGAACTCCTAGAATATTAATTTTTTTTTTTTAAATCATGAAGGGCACAGTAAAATTAAACTGTGACTGAACTGAATAAATAGAACCTGCATTTGATTTCAAGTGTCTGCTCTGATCTGTTCACTTAAATTTAGGAAACTGAGGTTCAAATTGGTGAGCTGGCTTTCCAGGATTATCTGGTGAGTTGGTAGCAGATCTGAATCCCTTAGGTGGCCACATTAGTGGAGTGGTCTAGAGTAGCAGAGTTTGCAATGCCATCCACTGTACAGGAAGGAAATAATTGGAATTGCTGTTGCTATTTCATTATTAAGAAATTTTCTGTGTGGAATGTAATGAACATTAATACAGTAATACATGTATATCACTCACAAATAACTTATATACACACATGTTGGGGTCCATCTTGACACTTTTTTTCTGATAATTGTGTGCAGTCAAATGCTAATAATCAACCATGGATCTGAAAACAGGATCTTCATCAATAGAGGAGAAATCCCTGTGTAATGTGGGAGATCCAAGGCCTTTTCTAAGGATATAAAGGGAGAAGGATGATTGGCCAGGTAGACTGCTGCTGTTGCATGATGTTATATAACCGTCATCTCTCCTTTCCCCAGCCGAATTTATTGTACATTCTTCATGGTTTGTACTGCACAAAGAAATACACAGGGAAAAAAAAAAGTGAAGCTAGACTACAGTTCAGTTCTGGCTCCATAAATGATTGGGAGTTGCACTTAACAGAATGTATCTTGTAGAAGTAGTACATAATATGTGTATAAAATATAGTGCTTCCTAGCATAGGATCTAGCATGTATATTTACCTGCTAAATATTTATTAAAAGAGAGGATAGATTCAGTGATCTCAACTGTAACTCTGTGTGTATTTGTCTAATTTGCTGTCTAGGAATCCCAGTCAGAAGTCCCAGCCTGCCACTGTTTTCTGATGCCATGCCAGCACCAACTCAACTGTTTTTTCCCCTGATCCGTAACTGTGAACTGAGCAGAATCTATGGCACTATGTGTTACTGCCATCACAAACACTTCTGCTGCTCATCACCCCATGTTCCTCAGAGTCGCCTGAGATATGCACCCCATCCAGCATATGCTACCCTTTGCAGGCCGAAGGAGCACTGGTGGCAGTACACGCAAGGAAGGAGATATGTTTCCACACCACAGAAATTTTACCTCACACCTCCACAGGTCAACAGTATCCTTAAAGCTAATGAATATAGTTTTAAAGTACCAGAATTTGATGGCAAAAATGTCAGTTCTGTCCTTGGGTTTGATAGTAACCAACTCCCTGCAAACGCACCCATCGAGGACCGGCGCAGTGCAGCAACCTGCTTGCAGACCAGGGGAATGCTCTTGGGAGTTTTTGATGGCCATGCTGGCTGTGCTTGTTCCCAGGCAGTCAGTGAAAGACTATTTTATTATATTGCTGTCTCTTTGTTGCCCCATGAGACCTTGTTAGAGATTGAAAATGCAGTGGAGAGTGGGCGAGCACTGCTACCCATTCTTCAGTGGCACAAGCACCCTAATGATTACTTTAGTAAGGAGGCATCCAAATTGTACTTTAACAGCTTAAGGACTTACTGGCAAGAGCTTATAGACCTCAATACTGGGGAATCAACTGATATTGATGTTAAGGAGGCTTTAATTAATGCTTTCAAGAGGCTTGATAATGACATCTCATTGGAGGCCCAAGTGGGTGATCCCAATTCTTTCCTCAACTACCTGGTGCTTCGAGTGGCATTTTCTGGGGCCACCGCTTGTGTGGCCCATGTAGATGGTGTTAATCTTCATGTGGCCAATACAGGTGATAGCAGAGCCATGTTGGGTGTGCAGGAAGAGGATGGCTCTTGGTCAGCAGTCACTCTCTCTAATGACCACAATGCTCAGAATCAAAGAGAACTGGAACGGCTGAAATTGGAACACCCGAAGAACGAGGCCAAGAGTGTGGTGAAACAAGATCGACTGCTTGGCTTGCTGATGCCTTTTAGAGCTTTTGGAGATGTCAAGTTCAAATGGAGCATTGACCTTCAAAAGAGAGTCATAGAATCTGGCCCAGACCAGTTGAATGACAATGAATATACTAAGTTTATCCCTCCTAATTATTATACACCCCCTTATCTCACTGCTGAGCCAGAAGTAATTTACCACCGATTAAGGCCACAGGATAAGTTTCTGGTGTTGGCTACTGATGGGTTGTGGGAGACTATGCATAGGCAGGATGTGGTTAGAATTGTGGGTGAGTACCTAACTGGCATGCATCACCAGCAGCCAATAGCTGTTGGTGGCTACAAGGTGACCCTGGGACAGATGCATGGCCTGTTAACAGAAAGGAGAGCCAAGATGTCCTCAGTATTTGAGGATCAGAATGCAGCAACTCATCTCATTCGCCATGCTGTGGGCAACAATGAGTTTGGAGCTGTTGATCATGAACGCCTCTCCAAAATGCTTAGTCTTCCTGAAGAGCTTGCTCGGATGTACAGAGATGACATTACAATCATCGTTGTTCAATTCAATTCTCATGTTGTAGGGGCATATCAAAACCAGGAATAGTGAGTGGATCTTTCTCCAGCAATCCTCAAATAAGTTTAAAGGGCGGATAGATTGAAACAGGATGTCATAAACTTTGCCAGTGGGTTGTTCTAAGCATTTGCCCATTTAATACTCTGGCTAGTAAAGTACTCCAAATTGACTTTAGGGCAAGGTGGCAGGATTGGGTTCTAATTCTGCCTAATTTGGACTTCCCAGCACCTGCTCTTGAGGTACCCCTTATTGAGGGTATCTCAAGACATTGACTTTTTACCAGTGTGAGAAAATCAACATGACCTGGCAAATAGAATACTGAATAGGCCAAAAGCAAGTATTTTATTGGGCATATTCTCATGGTAAAAGGAAAGAAACATTATTGCTCATGCCTGCATACCCCTTCTAATGTGTACATGACAACATTTATTTATTGCATGATTTCCTAGATACACAATCTATGCATTATTCATTGAAATTTATTTTAGCCTGAAATGGTTTTCTAATCCATTACTTAAGCCATAAGTGACCAAGAACCAAACAGTGTGAAGTTGTACATTGTGATGATTTCACTGAAATGCTTCTTGCATAGAAGAACAAACTCTACCTTCCCCACCCCTGTTTCCTAATGTAATTTAAACATTTTCTGTTTTACCACATGCTTGAAGACAATATTTTTAGTTTATGTACTCTTATATTAATGTTAAATAAAAAGTTTTTAGTTTCTGTTAATGAAAATTTTATTTAGTTTAAAATAAAAAGATGCAGAATAAAAAGGGGAAACTGATATGTTCCATTCTTGCCATCTGTACCCACCAGCACATCATTCTTTCTTAATATGTAATCCCTAAAGACTTGGCATACTCTGTGAGGTGGGTAGACTGCTGCTGGAAATCATACTTTCGGATTGAGTAGTGATAACAATTTTCAACCCTTTTGGAATTTTAAGATATATATAAATACATTTAGATTTCAGTTTGAGGGGTAAGATTTAATATTACCATTATGTGTTGAGAATTGGGGAGGTAGTTCCCCCTCCCCCAGGTCAATTAAAATATTTGGTTTAAAAATTGCTAAATATTTTAAACATATTATAGCTTATAAATAGGAATGTTAAGATAATACATGAGAAATTAAAAAAGGTAACTATTGTGCATGCCTGATGCTTAAATAGAACACTTAATAGCATCAAATGTTGTTTGCAGCAGTTTCCCTAATTATATGCAATCCTTTCTAGATGCTGTATCAAAGTAAGTGAAAATAAATACATTCAAATTGGCTTTTTGGAGCTTATTTGATATGCATCAAATGACATTTTGTTCCTGTGTTTAATGGTGATCTGTGTACAGCTGTGCATATATTTTATTTGCTATTCTAGCATCATTGTTAAAAAAAGACTATGTTTAATATTCGTATAGATTTTAATATAAAACATCACCTTTCCATAGTGTAATTACTTGTGGGGCGTTTAGGAGTCTTTCAGATTTTTAGAATATGAACTAGATGTTCAAGGGCTCCCACTAGGCTGTGGATGCTGAAGCAATGCATTACTGGCTGCTAAATTTGTTCCAATTGAAAATAGACTCAGGAAGATTACAGCTCAGAACATCATATAATGTTTGTTTACTGAATTTTATTTTTATTTTATTAAATCAGCTTGGAACTTTTTTCCAGGCAATATTTTTGAGGGGAAAGGTTGTACTATATATTTACTTCTAGATGTTTTGACAGACTTCATCTTTTAATACATGTGGACTGCAGTAGCAATTAAAACCTTTTAGCTATTATTTGAATTCCTCTTGAACAGAAGAGTTCAATATTCTTAATAAGGTCTCATCTGTATCATATATATATATTTGGTTTTCTGTGGTCATGATCAAGATGGTAATTCTTATTATTACATAAGAAACTTGTTGTGCAATCTGAAAGAAATGAAAACACAGTGTGGATATTGTCATTGTGGAAATGGCAATAACTGGGAATTAATTAGAAGTCCAAATATACTATCATCCAAAAGCAGTTGTGATTTTATTGTAATTGGTTGTCACTATGATGTAATAACTAGAATTAAAGTAAAGAACACATGTAAACTTTCATGGTATTTAGCCTTAAATTTTTTATTGTTTAAACTTCCTAGCTTATATATTCAACGTCTGTATTTATATTTAATCAGTGGTTCATAATACTTACCATACTTCTTAAACTTGTTAAATGGAATATTGATATGGTACACAGTACTTGGTAGGAAGAGTGTCTTACAAAAGATGTATTTGTGTGTCGACATACATGTTTGTGTATAATAAAGAGAATGGTCATAGAGATGCCCACAGTGAATTAAAGCTTCATATCTGCTTTCTGAATGCCTGTGTTGGTTTTAATGATAGTAAGAGTCATTAGATACTTTCTATAGTAGTATATTTAACTTAAGAATCCAGTGGACGAGTAGTATTTTGACCTTTTTTGTTTAATAGTATAATTTACATTCAACAAAATGCATAGATTTTAAGTTTAGTTTGAGTTTTGGTAACGACTACCCCAACATTTTTATCAACCCAGAAAATTCCCTCATGTCCCTTTCTAGTAATTCTGTCCTCACACAGCTATGTTCTGACTGCTGTTATCATAGATCACGGTTGCTTGTTCTAGAACTTCATGTAAATGGAATCATTGATATTTTTGTGTTTGGCTTTTGCGCAACAGTTTTTTTTTTTTTGATTCATTCTTCTTGTTGCATGTATGCATGGTCTGCCCCTAATTCCTAAGCAACATTCCACTGTATGAATATTTCAAGCTTTAGCCATTCTCTATTGATGGACCTTACTAGGACTCTCTTTAAAAAACGCTAGCCTTTAACAATTCTCAAGAGTGCTATTCAGTGTAGGTGTAACTTTAACTTTGTAAATAGACATACAGGTGAGTTTATGCTGTATACTCAATGGTAGGACTTTTTTTTTTTTTTTTTTCCTTAAAGTGGCCTTTAAATCAATGATGGACATTTTTCATGGCAAAAATATTAGGGGGTGGGGAATCACGGAGTGGGCTGTTACTTTTGATCTCTCTGTACCTGTCCCACTGAGAGTCTTGTTGAGTTCATTAAGACTTAAATGGTTAAGTTAATGACTGTCTTATAAGAAAAAGAGAAAGTATAGCTTGGTTTTTGATGGTCTTGGCTGTTACTGTTGATGAGGGATGATGAAGGAAGTAGGTATTTAAATGCTGACTTAAGTTAGGACTGGGATGGGTAACTGACTTGGGTATTTCAGCTTTTATTAAGCAAGGGTAACTACCTAGGATGAGCTTCCCTGTCACTGGTTAGACACATGCCTGAATGTGGATTATTGCTAGCTTTGTCCTTGGGTATAGCAAGAGATTCTCAGTAACTGTTATACTTAGTCTTTATGTCAAAAGGTCTTAGTTCTGACCTTTTTCATAAATAATAAAACAATTGCTATTCATTATAGCATTTTTCAAATCTTCAGAGGCTGGGTCTTGTTAAAATTGATGCATTGGTGACATAACTACTACTTGACAAGTTGAGTGGATGAAGACGTCTTAATGGGCACCTGAATTGACTCGTTCCAGTATAAAGGTGATTTCCTTTTTTCCTTTTTAGAATTTACTCTAAAAGCCAAGCTTAATCCTATTAAATCTTATCTGCCCAGTTCTTGTGACAATAGATTTGTACCCTGGATCAAATCCTAACCATACACGGCATTGTTTTCCAAATAGCTCTCAAATTACAAATCTTCGAAGTGAATACGTTAAGAGTGATGGAATCCATGCACTTCATATGTCATTAATAGTGATTATCCAGTGCAATTATTTTAAGAACTACACAATTTAGGTGCAATTACTTGGCCAATATTTAGAGCCACAAAAATGTATCTGGTTTTAAATGGTTCCAGTAATTTTTTAGCATCTTGTTTCTCTATCAAAATTTCTGATCTTTAAGGGAAGGGCCCCTGGGTTTTGTTTCTCTATTTGAGCTAGCACAAAGTTTAATAAAAAATGTTTAGCATTCACTTTATTTTTCATTAGAAGTATACAGTCAATAAAAGTATGGAAGTAAACTTTTAAGAATACACCTACTCCATGGTTAGGTTCCAAACACATGGCTGTTATGTGAAAATTAGTATTATGTGAAAATGGAGGATGACCACATCAAATCACAAAATGGAGGGTTACTACATTATTACATAACTGCCAATTTACTTCATTACATAACTGCCAAACCACTGAGAATCATGGCCCAGCCAAGTTGACATATAACCATAGCAGCCTACGTTACTCTCCCCTAACACCTCAGCATTCACCACTGTCAGACATATATTGTTAATAAGCAAAATAGGTAGCAGGTTTTTTACTATTGTTGCAAAATGTCAGATAATGAGGTAGTTGATAAATGAGGAACAGGTGAATATCATTCTGTTCTTTGTCAAAAGCTATCATCTCAATACAGATAAAATTTATTCCTATGCAGCTAAAGAGGCCACATCTTCTGACTTCCTCTAACTGCACAAGAGGAAGACAGAATCGCCATCAATAATAGCCCAAGACCTTTTCCTGTGAGGCCAAACATGCTGCCTCCCTCCAGCCCTTTCACCAACTCTGATACCATCCATTCCTCCTGCAGCACTCACCACCTTTCTGCTGGGTTTGATAATTCACTGCAGTGGCCACGCAGAACTCACAGATTATGGGGTTTATCAGGGAAGCACTAGGCTACAATTCAAGTTCAGGAAAAATGCTCAGTCTCTCTCAGCCCCCTGACTCTCAGCCAACAGTCTCTTTCAGCCACACTCCCAGCAATGCGTGTCTCTTGGTGTCTCTCTCAGCAATGCGTGTCTCTTGGTGTCTGTTTCTCAGCAGTGCATGTTTCTCAGGAGCGCGTTTCTCTCAGCAGCATGTCCTCTTTCTCAGCCAGCAGTCAGAGAGAATTCTGCGTCTAGGAGGCCTCATTGAGCCTGGCAGAGTGGCCAAACTAGCCAATCATAACATCAGAATTCTAAGCAACTGAGAAAGAGAGCAAACTTCCCAGAACATTGCTTTGTGCCACTCTCAACAGAAATACCCCAGGTGGATAACTTTTACAATCAGGAGCTCCTCAGTTGCTCACAGCAAATTCCACCATGGAGTTTACAAAGACTTATGTCTAGAAAAGCCATACCAGGTAATTTACTACACCGCATATACCTAGTTTCATTTTATCATAGAGATGATAATTCCTAAAACCAAACTTCTACTTGGATGCTGTCAAGTCTTACTCATAGTGACCCTATGTTGAATAGAATGAAACCCTGTGTGGTCTTGCACCATCCTCACAATAGTTGCTATGCTTGAGCCCATTGTTGCAGCCACTGAGTCAGTCCATCTCGTTGAAGGTCATGACCTTCAACTTCACCAAACGTGATGTTCTCCAGGGACTGGTCCCTCCTGATAACATGTCCAAGATCTTGCCATGCTTACTTATAAGGAGCATTCCGGCTATACTTCTTCCAAGACAGACCTATTTGTTCTTCTGCCAGTCCGTGATATATTCA